AAAAAGGCAACCCATTTAGGGATGAGTGCTCCAAAATCTCCTACTCTCTGTGTCTTGTCCAGTCCTGGATATTTTTGTCAGTTACTATTGACTGTGAGAAGAAGCTTCTCTGTTGAGGGTTGAGCAAGGCATTGATCTATTGGCATGGCAGTATGTCATTGGGAATCATTTCATTGTTATGTCCCTTTAGCAGAATAGCAGTAGTAGTCTCTCCCCTAGGTCCATGACTTACTGAGTTCCAGTATTTGTCACATTAGCCATGTCAGGTATGCGTTCCATCTCATGGAGTAAGCCTTAAAACCAATGTGGGGGAGGCGTGGTTGGTTATTCCCGTAACGTTTGTGCCGCTGTTGTACAGGTGCATCATGCAGGCAGGTCAATGTTGTAGGTTTCAGAGTTTGCAGCTGGGTGATATTGATAATTACCTTTCTCGCCTGGTAGTAGTCAGAGTACCCTCCAAAACCATGAATGCTAGTCAGTAGGGGTAAAACTTATTTTTGGGCACCAGCTCCATTTTCTTATTTTCTGTGACATGAGAGGTTGTTGTCTTCAACAATAGTGCCGAGGTCCAGCCTGTATCAGTTCTATGCTGCAGGGGCTGTCTATTCTGGACTGATGTCTTTGGGGCTGTGATCAGAATCAGTCAAACAGCCCCAGATTGGACCCTGAGTGAGGGAGTGTGGATGAGGGAAGTCCTATCTACCAATGACGTTAAAGGATGAGACAGAGACATCTGGTCATGGTCATCTCAGGAGGGCTCTCAGTCAATACTTGGGACCACAGTTTATTTCAGCATCCTCTTAAATAGCTTTTCAAAAGCAGGGTTACTGACAGAAGACATCTATTATCATGTATAGAGCTGATATCAAATATTTCCTTTAATCCAAGAGGCAATTCAAGACCACATGTATGCACTAGTCTTTAGTGTGGGTGTAGGCTTGTCCAGTGCCTAGATCTTTTTACACAAACTAGGAGCCATTCCCCACCATGGCCAGGCCATTCAGAGATAACCAGCCAACATTTAAAAGACAATAGAAATTCTGAACTCCTAGAATTCTTGGCTGGGCCGAGAATAATTCTGAGTCATTACATTTGGGCCCCAACACAATAGGGCTTTCCTGTCATGTTGTGGAGAGCAGCCAACAGCCTTGACAATGGCCTGTGATGTTTGGAGAACTTCCATGAGACCCCTTTGGCCTGTGAAGCAACAAGATATAACGCTACAGGTGCTGGAGGTTTTACATGGTATCATAAGATCTCTAATTGAAGCATTGTCTCCGTCATTATAGGTGACTTCATTTAGCCTCCTTTCATATACATATGTATTTTAGAAAGCTTCTACAATCTTTTCAAAAAGCTCTTAGTGTTAGTTGTCCCTCCCCATATTGCCTCCTTTACCCTGACACCCCATCCCTATCCCTGCTTAATCCTTCTTTTGTGTTTTCCCTTTGTTTCTTTGTAACACTATACCATATTTGCCCTTTCATGAAGGATTCCTTAGGTTCCTTACTAACTACACAGCCTCTGTGGTTATTTGGATTGAAACATGTATCTTAAAAGCTAACTTCCACCTGTAAGAGTTAAACGTGCAATGTTTGTCTTTGGGGTTATGGGTTATCTCATTCTAGATGATTATTTCTAGCTCCATCCATTTACCTGAAAATGCTATAGTTTTTAAACAGCTGAATAATATTTCATCGTGTAAATCCACATTTGTATTATCTATTCATCAGTTGGTAGACATCTGAACTATTTCTGGCTATTGCGAATAGAGCAGTAATAGACATGGATGAGCAAGTCTAGAGTTCTTTGGATATATGCCCCAGATTAATATAGCTAGATCTTGTGGTAGATAGATTTTCAACATTCAGAGCAACTTCCACACCAATTTCTGTAGAGAGTAGGCCAGTTTGCACCCCCACCATCAATGAATAGGTTTCCCCTTTCCCCACATTTTTGACACAATCTTCTGTATTTTATTAATTGGCATTCAGGAAGCCATTTTTTCTAAATTGGGTATCATTTAGTTGCAATATCATTCATCACTTAAAAATATTTTTCTAAGACTTTCTGTTATAATTAGTGTTATTTAGGTATGTAAGTTTACATTTGATTTTTGTGTCCGTGTGTGGGGTACACATGTGTGTGTATCTGGATGTGTATGTGTGTGCATGTGGATGCCTGACACTGACATCAGATATCTCTATCCACTGCTCTTCACTTTCTATATGGAAGCAATGTCTCTTGGTGAAGCTGGATCTCACCATGCTGGCTTATCTAGCTAGCCAGATTGCTCCAGGGATTTCTGTTTAAATGGTCTGAGATTACAGACAGATTGCCACACCCAGGCTGCCACACCCACCTGGCATTTCCATGGGTTCTGGAGATCCCCAAGTAGGTTCTCATGTTTGCAAGCGCCAGGCGCTTTCCTTGCTGGGCTACCTCCCTGGGCCCTTTTGTGCATATTAAAAATTTTCAATTTTTCTCCTATTTATCTATTAAGAGGTGGTTACTTCCCTTTCTCTCCCCTGCAAGGAGGAAAGGCAAACTGGAGTATTATGAGCAATCCTGGCTGACACAACAGTTCTCAGAGAAAATCAGTCTGCTCCATAAGCAGTACTTTGTAATATCTGCACATGGTTTTAGTGGTCACAGTCCATGTGTCTGCTATCTGAAAGCTGGAGGCCGGGGGGGGGAGGCAATCCTGCTAAAGTTCCTGAGTTTCCCAGGATAGTCCAGCCACAAATGTCTGAATGCCAGTATTGCCCTGATTGAAAATCAACAACAACAACAACAACAACAACAACAACACACACACCCTAAAACAAAAATAAATAAAAAACCTGCTGCAAATTGCAAATAACAATATAGAATTCCTTGGGGGAATGGATAGGAGTAGGGTGGAGAACTAGAGATAAAAAGGAGAAAGAGAAAAAGGATGCTCTATTCCAACACGTAAAAAATTAAGAATATTTAAAGCAGGAGGGCACAGAGGTACCTTAGAAGGGGTTGGCTGTACATCATCCCATTAAAGGAGTTACAACAGTGAGTGAAGCTGTACTCATTAACAGGCTCTTTGCATCTTTCATTAGGGTCTGTGGGACATATTAAGAAATCTTACTGGTAGAGAATTGTGTTGATTGAATAAAATCGTCTGGGGGAAATGCCTAGGTGTTTGAGAGAATAGCAGCTCCCAGGGCATGAGAAATACCTTGTAAGATCTCTTTCAAGTGGGATTTTGGCCTTGGCTGTGTCAATGTGACACTCAAAAGTACCTACTCTGTATTCTTTGCTCTGTCACCCAAAAATGTAAGGCAAATGCCTGCTTTGCCTAGTGAGCATTCCAAATTCCAGATTGAACAAATGGAAGTATGAAACATCTGGTGAAGTTTTCCATTTAAATTAGAAATGGATTTGTTATGTATCTGAAATTGAAAACTGGTTGATCATCCTGTTCTTTTATCTGATAACCTTAGTGTGTTCCTTGATTAATTTTTAACATAAAGAAAATAGTTATATATTAACACTTTTCAGCCTTTTTATAGTACTGTTGCTTGCCCGAAGTAAGTCAAAATTGAATTCTGACTCTAGATACAGTGTTTCACTCTCAGAAGCCTGAACTCAGTCATGGTTCTGAAATATTCAGAAGGGACACAGGATAAAATGAAAACAGAACAACCTGTATGAATGAAGGCATGAGAAACAAAGGGAATAGCCACATCTCTGTGTTAGTGCCTTCCATGGGAAGGCAACTGTGATTCTCCACACACCCCCATGTTTCAGAATCAAGGACAAGTCCAAACCTGGAGTCTCGAGCTGGCATCTGAATCTCCATATTCAGCAAACACCCAGAGTTAGTTTTAATTCCTGCTCAGTTTAGAATTTATTTTCTTTGGTGGAGATTGCACCCAGAGCCTTGCCCATGTCAGGGGAGCTCTCAACTACTGAACTGAACTCTATGCTTGATTCACACGGAAGTCTGATATCACCAGGCTAAACAATTTCTGTTGTGCTACTGGGACAAAATCGTGTTGTAGGACCAGGTTAAAAGCCTTTAGACTCAGACTTCATTTGGAAATATGATTGTTACTTTTTAAATAAAGCATGTATGTGAATTCCCATTTCCCATAATCTATACACACTCGAGTTCCTACATTGCTTGGTTCTGTGCACTCATCTATCAAACACGGATGGCCACCAGACTCTGTGATTGTTTTAAGGCAAATGTTATGAATAGAAACCTTATCATTACCTTCTTGAAGGACAGTATCTTCATTTTCTTTTTTACATTTCCATCATCTCCCACATTGTTGGCAGTAGAGACAATATACAGTTTTATTTTACTTATTTGTCTTCCTGTCTTCTGTGGCAAATATCTAATTTGCTACTAAATGGTATTTATGGATTTGAACTTGCTTGTTTTCTGCATTGCCCAAGCACCGGGATCCCAGGATGCACTGACAAGCTGTGTGTATGCTTATCAAAGTGCCCTTGGGAAATGAAATAACACATGAAGCTCATTCGCTATTTTCCAACAAACTTCATAACATTCTCCCTGATTCTATCCTTTGGATAGATTTCTAGTTTATCTTATATGTGAGAAATGACCTTATAACCTGCATGTGACAGTTGTTTGGGTTTTATTAAGTGCCCTGCTAGCTTGTGATATAGGGGCATTACTCATAGATATTTGTTGGCTCCCCCAGTAAGCCAAGAAAATTTATTTTTGTACATTTAACTGCTGTGTCTTTCTTCTGCTGCATGTCATTTACAAGTAGTTCATGGTATAAGGAGCATGCTGCCAATTCTGACTTTAGATGAAGAGGAAAGAGATAGATTGGCATAATGGGTCAGAGAGGTGAAAACTTTGCAGGGTACATGTCTCCCAGAAAAAAGCAAACTTGATGGAAATTAAACATAAATTCAAACCAAAGGGAACCTTCTATTCCTTATTCTATTTTGGGAAAGACTTGATTCATTACTCTTCTTCTATCCCCTAGAGTATTAGGGAGCAGGAGCTCAGAATGTGTGCATCCAGCCATCTGAGATCATCTGAGGTGTTCTCTACAGAGAAGTAAGTCATCCCTTATTGCTTTTTTAAAAATTGTGATATCTTAGTAGTCATTTCAAAGTTCTGCTTAATTTCATATAAAAATATTCCATCATCAAGACAATTTATTAGGACTTGCAGAGTAAAATTTTAATCACATACTGGTTTTCTCCTTGTTGACAATTTTCTGCAGTACTGAGACAATCATGTACTGGTTTTCCCTTTGTTGATAATTTTTTGTTGTACTGAGACTAAAGTTAGTTAGTTATTACTTGGCTGATTCCACACAGTTGAGTACAGGATAGAATTAACAAAGCTGTATTCTTTCATATAACTCTGCAAAACACAGCCTATAACTCTGCACAACGCAGTCAAAGCAAAGGTGACCATTATCCTCACTCATGCCTCATTCCTTAAACTCCACCCTCACAGCAACTAAGAGTATGTTTCGTTAGGTGCATGCTTAGTATGGCCTGAGGTATCATCCCACTGGTTTGCAGTAGTGATGAGCAGAGTGCAGCCAGCTCAGACTGTAGGTGTTAGGTAATGGCTTCCTCCCCAGACCCTTTTCACACCCAGTTGTGTTCAGAAATGCATGTGCTTTTCTTTCGTTGCATTTGTTTTCCCTTTTTTACGAATATGCCTAGAAGTCAAAGAGAACAGAACATGATCAAGGAATGTGGCGATGGGGGATTCTCAAGTTTCTGGGTCTTGATTTCATAATATTAAAATGGAAAGACTATACTCTAGATGTACTGTAATAATTAAATTGAAGGTAAATTATGGAAAATGGTAAAAAAAATGGAAACATTGCAGTTGGGTATTAGTAGGTGTGTGGCTGCGCAATCACAGAAGGTCCCCACAGAACTGTTGTTCTCTTGTTAAAGATTAAAATTAGAAAGGTGCCACTATTGAAAAGCATGGTTAGACCGACCACTTCATTTGAAAGTTGGTAATTAAATGTGATGAATTAGGCATTTATCTTCTCAGAGGAATATGATGCAGGATAAGGGAGTAACTCTGGGTGTTGACGGAACCTTAAAAATGAATCTTAGAGTCAGGATGAGATAATTCAAAATCAGTTTAACTGTTTAAAATATTTGTCTCAAGTAAATATGAGGACTGGGTGGTAAAACACCAGGCAAATGATTCATAGGTACAGGATGTTGATCTTTAGATGCCCCACTCATCATGATGTGTGATAATGGAGAGATACCTATCACCACTTCAACTTAGTTATCAGACTCACAGCCAGGAAACCCAACATCTTGGGCCTCCTGATAGGATGTGGCTTGAACTTGAAACATCATGCTGGGTGTCTTTGAGTTTACGGCTTGCTTACAGCAAGAATAGGGACTAAAGCATTGGTAAGATGATTGCAGCACACAACCAAATATTGGAACAGGTGTCAGTAGTCAGACAACTGTCTTGATCTCAATTTGCTGGTGGTTCAACAGGGCAGCATGACAGTCTCAGTACTAGGGGATTGCTCTGGGAGTGTTATTTGGACTTGGTATTGTTCCCTGGTCTATATCCAATGACGTTCTTGTGTTAGACATGTAGGTACCCACAGTAAAGGAACTGGAGCACTCCTAATTGACCTAACACTCAGCAGGCACATTTTAAAAAGAATATAAACTAGCTTATTGTGGATTTGCTAACCACATCCTGTTTTTGAAGTACATCTTGATTAACATATTACCAACTTTCTAGTGAGTAAAGCTCCATTATCAGCACATTCTTCTGAATACACAAAGGCTTGTGGGATATGTGTGCTGATATACAAAGACCTGTGTGTTGGTAAGTCTGCTAAATAAGTGTAAAACATTGAGTGATTGTTTTCTTTTTGTGGTTCTTGTCAGAACATTAGTGATGCCTTTGATAAAAGTGGCCTTTGTGTACACATTCTCACTTAAAGGTTTACTTCCTCTTATGACTTTATTGAATATAACACAGTATGTACATAATATCAGTTCCTCTGTTTTTATAATAAAATTTATATAAGTCATTATTATTACCAATGGATTTTTAAGTAATTTAGCTACGTGGGACTATTTTTGCTAACCATTTCAAAGTCCAGAATTCCATTTTCTGAGTTACATAATATCAGTGGCCCTTGCTTGATATGTACCTCATATAGAGATCTGTGTTTATGACTTAAGTTGTTTTTATGACAGAATCAAAGTATCTGAGCTCCAAGAATTATAGTTATAAATTGATGTCTAAGGATGTATGTCTAAACAATCAACAGTAGTTTTAAATAAAACCAAATTATGGGAAACTATTATGATTTCAAATGAGTTAGCTATAAAAGGAGACGCGGCAATAGATTGGATGGATATTAATAAACACAGGGATGAGGCTATGATTGCAAACACAGCCGACTTCATGCAGCTCGAACTTGCAAGTGATTTATATTTCATGCCCTTTATTAACTGGCATCTAATGAGAGTTTTTTTCACTGTATCACATCAAATGCTCCTAATAAAAATCTGCTGTTTTGCATGTAAGTTGCACCTTTTCATAAAACATTTCAGTCATCTTTGACTCACTAAATAAAGTTGTCACTCAAAGCTCATTTCCTATTTAAACATGGGGAAGTTGAAGAGATGTGAATTAATCCTGTATATTGTTTCCACTTGATGAGGTCTCCAAGAGATCTTTGTCCTGTCACCTTTAATGGACTCTGTGTGATGGACTCATTAGTCAATTCCTTATCATTTTTTAAAAGAAAGATGTAATCTCACAAAACTGTCCTTCATGCATTTGGAAATTATTGTAATTTATTCTTAAAGTGCATTCAAAAATTAGGAACAAGGAGACTTCACTTTATTTGGATACCATAATACTGCAACAATAACATGCTGATTACAATGAGAGGTCTAAGAATGCTATTTTGTGCTGATTACTCATGTTATATTCAAAACCAGCAGCTAAATCGGACAATGCTTCGACCCAATTGTTTAATATTCTACCGTGCTCAGAAAATCTGCAGCTGGGGAATGGAAATGTTCTTGACTTCATTTATCTGTGAGTGCAGAAAAACTAATAACAAATGACTTCTGGGTACCATGCAAATCTTCCTAAATTCATGCTGTTGAGCTTTGGATTTTTAATATTATTTTGCATTGCGGTCTGGGATTGAGTACTTGTATTTGTTATCTTGCTGCATGCCCTTCGCTCTTTGTCATTCTTCTTCGGCTTCACATGCTAATTTGATTAATGAAATTCACATAAATGGATGGAAGAGGGAGGATCAGATGAATATTTGACAACTATTTAATTTAAGGAAAACCTGAAGAGTGTGCTATTCTTATTATGTTTAGATCTATTTTTATACTCATAATTAATTTGTATGAACTTGCCACTCACAGATTATCACTTGAGAAATTCTGCTGCTTTCATTGTTGGAACTCTCAGAATTCTAGTCTTTTAATGATGACTGTTTTGTTTTTATATTCAATAGGAAGAAGTTTAGCATTACTACTGTTGAGTACTGTATCCTTTTTTCTTTTCATTGATAACATCCTTTGGCTTTTCACTGCTAATTGTCTGTGACAAGATCCTAATCTGTGAGGAGCAAAGCCAGGGAAAGCAGAGGCACAGCAGGTAACTGCTCTGTGACCAGTGTATTCTCCCAGGGTCTCTGTCTCTGTCTCTGCTTCTGTTTCTCTTCTCTCTCCCTCCCTCTCTCTCTCTCTCTCTCTCTCTCTCTCTCTCTCTCTCTCTCTCTCTCTCTCTCTCTCTCTCTCTCTCTCTCTCTCCTGTGTTTGTGTTGGGTCATGGGGTATGTGAAAGGAAGGTACAAAATTTGTGTTCTGGTGGAAGCATCACCCCAAGCCCCTCTCCCCCATCTCTCTCCAAACTCTGCTGTATTTCTGAAAGCCCAGCAAATGGTGACCCCTTCCCCAGAGATGCTCAAGACTACTCCCAAAGGATATTTAAACTGTCCCCCAGAGAACAGATGTGTGGTTTTCCAGTCTCTGTTTTTTCCATCTCCTCTTTGGGGAGCATGGGCTTTTTCTAATTTGGTTTGATTTGGTCTGATTTGGATTGCTGCATTGGTAGAGAGGCTTATCGGGGTGCAGAAACTTTTCAGCTTGTTTTTGTTTGTTTATTTGAGAGATCAGGGTAAATAGAAGGCATGTACAATGCATGTATTTGAGCTGAAGCTCTGGAGGGAAATCAGTCAGTGACTCATCAGATCGGGTAAATTGTCAATAGAGAAGCTGCCTAAGAGGAGGGAGTTTGCCCATGTCTAGACTTTCTAAGTTCTGGAACAGCAATTTGTTGTGGTCAGTGAGGTCATAGTTTGGTCACATTTTACACACAACATACAAAACCTGAAATATTCATTTTTGTTAGGTTTGTTTTATTAATTTCTTCATATTGTATAAGCCATAGTAAAACTGTCAACTTTGAGACACACCCTTCAACACTTGCCTTTACATTACCAGCTCTTGTGCTGTGGTTGGGCCTGAACCTGTCCCTTTTTGAAAGCTTAGTCCTCAACTATTAATGCTACTGGGAGTTAGTGGCCACTTTAGGAGGTGATGTCCTAGTAGAAGGTCATGCTTTTAAGTGAGATTCTGTATTCTGATCTCCCTGCTGCCCTAATTTACCTCTCCTTCTCTCCCTCTCTTCCCCTGCCTCCCTCCTATAGCCCTCTTCCCATCTCCCTCTCCCTTCTTGTCTTTTCCTCTCCTTCCCTACCCAATGAGGTGACTATATTTGCTCCACAACACATGCCCTGTTGTGATGTTTTCCTCATCACTAACCCAGAAATTAGGGAGACAATGACCAAGGGTAGAAAGCTCTGAACTTGTGAATCCAGATAAATATTTTCTCTTAGAAGTTGTCTAAGTATGTCACAGAGTTGGAAAATGTGTTTGTAAATTTTGATCTCATTAATGCATCCAATAGACACTTTGGACTTTTCTGCTTTTTAGTGTTTGAAAGATATAAAATCTTTTCTTACTGGAATATTCCTTTACATTCATGTATGTCTGGTAAATGATTACTCTGACTTCATGCTACAATTCATACAATGTCTCTTCTGTGAACATTTCCCTAAAATAATCCTCCACAACTCCATGCCGAGAACTGCCCATGTTTATTTGCTAACCACTATAGTGAAATACTAAACTGTCCTTCTTAAACTGTGTCTGTTACTTGGAGAAGTCACTGGTGCTTAATCAAGTCTCAGTCTCTTGTGACAATAGGCATGATTCATATTCTGGGTTTCTGCTTACAGGGAGGTGGGGGTTGGTACAGAAAACAAAACCGTGAAATGCTGTTACTAACTTCAACTCTGTTACTAATGAGTATTTTTTTATCGTAATATCCTTTCTGTTGCATAGATACATCTGTGTGCCGGATTGACTCTGCCATAAATTTCAGAGCAGTTTTTGAGCAGCTAAAATGTTTATTATACTCAGTGTTTGTGTGGTACAGAAAGCAGGGAGTGGGGTTGCAACAAAGGAAAGGAGGAGCAAGCCTCCATCTGCTAGGTATAGATGTGATGAGCACTTGCTGGTAGAGCAGCATGAGGAGAAACAGAAACAGTCCATTCTGGAGTGTTTAAAAGGCAGCCGTGGAAAATTTACTGTGTATGGTGTTCTTAATGCCGATAGAACAACCGAAGACTTCTGCTTCATGAAAATAGGCCTGTAGAGACATCTATATTCATCCCGGATTTCTTTCAACTTGGTGTTTCTAGTCCTATAGGTACCTATAAAATTAAAAAGAACTGGTAATCCACCAGAGGTATGGGCCTGGAATTCTCATCTCTTTCAATTTTATTTTTGAAAATTACTGTGGAGAAGAAAAACATATCATGTGCAGTTTAGCTTTGATAGTCTATGTCCACTGAGCCCTCATATCCTTATGTATATCATGGATTCCTCTTTAATTTTTTTCTTCAATAATTCCATACATTATATTTTGATCACATTATTTCCCCTCCCCCAAATTCTTCCAGATCCTCTTTTACATTCCCATAATTTTTACATAGATATTATGTGGATTAATATAGGACTTAAGTAACTTGACTTGGTCTGTATAGATTTAATGAGTAACAGGCCTGTTTGCAACTTCCCAGCTGTCACCTTTTCCCTGCGTTCATTAGTTCTGGCTACTGTAAAAGGAACAGCTGGATCAACAAGACAGTGAGTAAACTTAAGACACATCATGTCTGCCAATACAGCTAAAGGCAGGTTCAATTTCTTTGTGGGGAATAATGAAGTTAGCACTCTAGCTGTGCAGGTTTCTTTAATGTAATCAGAGAGGATGTGCCTGTTTCTGCAAACACACTATTCCCTGAGTTCTGCTTCTTTGAAGCACTTGAAAAATACTTGGTTGAGAAAACTGTGAAACATCCAAGATGTATACAATATTGTTTCATGTAGAAAAACATTGCTTTAGGATTTGGTTAATTTTCTTTAGGGCGAGAAAAAGTGATTAAATGAATGCTTTTGTATAAATAGGAATAGGATAGCTAGGATGTAAGGTAGGCATATATATACCTTATTTATAAGAAATTATCAAGCAACAGTTAGGCCATTGTGTATTTCCACCAGCAGTGTGTGAGTTGTAGTATTAGATTAGGTGACATGAAAACTATCAACAATCAAACGGAGATATGCCATATCTGCTGCTTACAACATGTGGAAGGATTTAAAAATCTACTACTTTGTGTGATGCTGTCTATCATGTGGCTTAGTCACTAAAGGATGTACAGGTTTGGTTAACTAGAGTAACCTCAGTGTGCTTGGAAGGTAGAAGAAATCTGAATTAAAACAGATGGACTAGAAAAGACCAGTGATACAAAATGGAATTTTATACTTTCCCTGAAGGCTAAAACTAAGTTTATATGGAGGCAGGAGTGAGAGAATGGAAAACAAGTCCAAGATTTTGTGCTGTAGTACCTAAAACAGGCATTCAGAATATGAGCTGAGCACCGGAGAAGGTTACCGTGGGAAGGAAGGCTAATACTTATGGTTTAGGTCTGTTATTTACTGGACTTTCTAACTGCTGTTGCAGGGCTTAGAAGAGAAGGGTTGGGAAGGTAGATCTTGGGCATCATTCCCACATCCTGGAGTGGAGGAGGAGGGGACTGTTCTCTGCTCAGTACCTCCAACAATCAGTGCCCACATTGTGAAACCAGAGGAAAAGACTCCATAGCAGGAGCCAACAGAGATGACAGAGAAGCAGCTAGAATACAGGGCTCATATACAGGGCTCATTGGCAGGTAAAGGAGAAAGACAACTTGAATCAGTTGCTTTAGGAATCTGTTTTAATATGTTTTGATGAAGAGCTATACGATTTAGAAAGAGTTTTGTTGTTTTCTTTTTTATATTAAGGTCAAAGAAATTGTGATTATCTATAGAATAGATGAACAGGAGAACTGGCCACTGAGATGAGCAGATGAGCTGGCTTTTTTTTTTTTTTGATTGGGAGATGCATTTTGTTTGCTTGTTTTTACTTAATATAGATAGAGGAAGAATTTCAAATAAAAAGAAACAGATAAACATGATTGGCTGAGATGCCTTCAAACACACACACACACACACACGCACACACACATGCACATACACACGCACACACACACATAGAGAGAGAGAGAATATGAGAATATGAAGGACTAAATCCTAGAATAAAAAAAAGCTATAATATTAAAAGGTGATTATCTGACCCATTCATTTAGATTTGTAAGTTTATGCGGAGATCACAATTAAACCCAGCGTCTCCAAGGTGGAGGAGCTAATGATACCGACATCTGCTGGTTCAGCCTCTCACTTCTGGAGAACTGCCAGAGACCACGCTTCTCCTCAAGCTGCACCATTACCTCAGAGCTGACATTAGTTTATGCCATCAGCTGTTCTTATTTCTAGACTGCGACCCTTTTAATTTGCAGTCTGGGGTCATAAATGTAGCTTTTATTGGCCCATTTTATTAGCACAGACCTTTCTTGCTTTTGGTTTTGTGTTAGAACCTGCACAGAAGTGTTTGACAGGTAGTTTTGGCTTTAAAGAAATCTCCCCCTCCCCCCTGAAAACAGCTAAAGATGAAATATGTCAAACATGTGCTGTATAATTTAAGATGTTTCCCATATCAGAGGACTTTTACATTAGATTTATTTGTGTATTCCATATATTCATTCCAAACACAATTAAGTACCACAAGCCTTTCATTATGCTAATGTGGATTATGATAATTTCTAGATGTGTTAAAAAAAGGAAAAAAAGCAGTTTCTGTCTTTGGAGTTATTTGTATTTCAGTAAGCTGCAAAGTTACCTAATATAATAGGTTGTATTTCAAGAGTTCTTTTGGAAGCCTGTTGTTCAGAACTTGGCATAAATACAGAGGTATTAATGCAGGTAATCATTCATAACCCTGCCTAGCCCATGTCGCACACTGTTACTGCATCTAAAGCGCCAACGGAATGCGCTTATATTCAGGGGAATACATCAGAGAGTCTCTGACACTGAGATCACTTCTCAACTGTGCTGGGAGTTGACCCTCCTTCCACTGCCCTGCCTCCTGATAGTGAGATCTTTGGGGGGGGGGAGGCCCAGGAACAAATGGGAGGAAGCCCAGTAGAATGGGAGACTGTTTAAGTAGCAGCAGGTAGGCAAGAAGATTCAAGGTGGGACAAGGCTGGCGCTGGAGGAGGGGTGCCTGCTATTCACTTAGCCCTTCTTGCTCATTTTGAAACAGCCAGTCTCCCTTTCCAGTGTCCGGGAAACAAGCTCAGTGGTGGCAAGTCAATTCAGCATACTTCAGCGTGTATATCTTTTCATCTGAAAGGAAAATGGCCTTTCAGATCGACCCTGCTAAATTTGGGACAATTCTTATTCCACCTTCTCAGATTCCAGCAGCCGGAAATGATCATTAAAAACCTCTCAGTTGGAAATCAGAGCATAGATCTGTCGGCCTTTGCTGAACCATTAAGCCAGAGACGCCACTTCTCCTCACTAGGGTGTAACTTAGTTGTTGGGAAGGAGAGTGTTTGCAGAGGTACACATCACCATAGCAACCGGATTGGCAAGCAAGGCTGTGGAAATAGAACTTGAAAGTCACACAGAAACAAGTCTGTCTAGCTCTGGCTTCAAAAGGATTGCGTTAAGAGAGGGAGAGTCATGATTACATGCCATTTGATCTGTGATTGCTCAAAGGCAATGTGCATGTTCTATCAATCCCTTGCACCTCCGAGACAAAGTAGAACGTGTTCCCTGTACCACTATTGATTTGCAGTAAGCAAGCTACCCAAGGAATGGCAGCCTCTTCTTTTCCCTCTTCCTTCCTCGGATTAGCATAGCTTGTATGAATACACAAAACTGATAATTGTTTCTCTGTTTTAAAAGCCATAATTGGCATTTTAGGAGTTGTGTTGTTTGTTAAAATAGCCTATGTTTACTGTGCTGTCTCCTGAGTTTACAGCCCTGTGGGAGTAGATGGCCTGTCTGGTGCTACAACAAAGGTAAAAACTGAGCATAGGGCAAGTAGCTGGAAAACCAGAATCACAAATTGGAATTGAAATGAAATGGAGAGAGTATACATATCTGGTCTTACATACGGTAGGATCCCCATAGGCCGTCTTTTGCTGCACCTCCACTGCAAAGTTCCATACTGATTGAACAACTCACTGACGGTCACAGTGCTAATTAAGTGGAGTAGGCAATGCTAGGGGCCAGAGATTCTGATTTCTGAGTTTGAAGATTGTAGGAGAAACTACTATGAACATGCTTGAAATAGCTGGAGTCTAACTATAACAGTAAGTTTAGAATTTAGTGAGGGTGTTGTCGTTGAGTTCCACTAAAACCACTTTATTTACTTTCTGAATTTGGGTTTTCTCATGTAGGCCAAATTGGCTTTGAACCTGGGAGCCTCTTGCTCTCTAAGTCCCAGTACTGTGGGTGTGTGCTGCTACCATGCCTGGTTTAAAATATTCTTATTAATGATTGTGGTGTGTATCTTCTAAAACTATGAGTAGTATCCACTGCTGAATGGTAAGAGTATAGGGAATGTATGGAAAACAGTTATTGACCAAAATCTAACCCTCTCCTCCTTGAAAAGAGGAGTATTGTATTACAGACACAATCCTTGTTCTGAACTACCAATTTCATTTCCCTCCCAGGCACTTTCTCAGGAAATCATCATCTTGAATGCAAGTTTCAAGTCTTATGCTACCAAGCATCAGGTAGAGCTGTGACTGATTGTAATATATCAATATTTTAAAAATCCCTTTTTATATCTACACATAAATGTATGTACATTTTGGAATATGGTATGATTTTGATACATATATACATTACATTGTGAACAATCAAATGGTAGTATTTGGTATATGTCCTCATGTAGTATTTCTTTGCAATAAGAACATCGAAAATATACTCTTTTTTTTGTTTTTGGTTTTACGAGACAGGATTTCTCTGTATTGTTTTGGAGGCTGTTGGTCCAGCCTGGCCTCGAGCTCACAGAGATCCACCTGCCTCTGCCTCCCTAGTGCTGGGATTAAAGGCATGCGCCACCACCGCCCGGCTATAGAACATCTAAAATATACTCTTAATTGTTTCAAAATTCATTATTGTAAACTGTAGTGATTCTACCATGAGGTAGAGCAATCAGACTTATTCCTCCTATTTAACTGTAACCACTCAACTCCTTCTTTGTTTCCTGACCCACCTCTGGTAATCATTCTCTGTGCTTCTGTGACTCTGCATAAGGTGG